CCCAACCTGCTCTAAGTCTGAGCGTGGCTAGTATGAGCCCATCCAAGAAGAAAGGAGGAGAGGGGGTGCTAGAGGAGCCGTGGGTGCCCTTGCAGCCGCCCCCCCCCCATACACCAAGGGAGCAGGAAATTAAAGCTCTGGGCCTGTTGGGAAGGAGGAGGAGGAGGAGGAGGAGGAGGAGGAGGAGGAGGAGGAGGAGGAAGAGTAATGGCGCTGTCTCTGCATCATCTGCTCAGTGTCTTTCCATCGCGATCACGGGACGACTGTCCGCCGGTCGCAGGTTGAGAACCCCACAGCCGCGCACCTGGAGAACGAGTACAGCCAGCCCCCCAGGAACTCCCAGCTCTCCGCGTACCCAGGTGAGCACCGGGGAGGGACGCGGGGGCCCAAAGGGGAGGCGTCTGGGGAGAGGGGTGCCGGCCTGCCCAGTGCTCGCAGCAGCGGGTGGAGGGATCCGGCCCAACAGGCCGCTCAGCCGGAGAGAAGGCCATGGCCCAGGCCGTGCCCACAGCCGCTCCTCTGCGGGCCTCAAGGCCGGATGGTCACAAGGCAGAACAGAGCCACTGTGGCCGCGGGAGCCCCGTACTGACAGCTCCCTGACCACAAAGCCCAGGGAGCCCTGAGTTCAGTGGGAACCCCGAGTTCAGCGTCATTAGTGAACCTTCGCATAATTTGATTAAAACAGATCCGGGGCTGCCAGCCACCAGCCCCAGGCCCCTCTGATTTTCCACACCCACGGCACTGGGCTCAGGGGGGCGCTGGGCTGGGGGGGCTCTGGGCTCCAGGGGGCTCTGGGCTCAGGGCGGGACTTTGGGGGGGTTTTGGGCTCTGAGTTCTTAAGGGCTTTGAGGGGCTCTGGGAAGCTCTGGGTTTGGGGGGGCTCTGGGCTCCAGGGAGGGCTCTGGGCTCCGGGGGGCTCCGTCGGTGTAGCTGGTGGGTCAGCCCCGAGGTGGCCTCCTTTCTGCCCGCAGCTCTGGAGGGGGCCCTGCGCCGCGTGTCCGCCCAGCCCGATAACTCCTCCGACAGCGACTACGACCTGCACGGGGCTCAGCGGCTGTGACAGGTGAGGCCGCACCCGGGAGCCCCCCCCCCCCCCCCAGACAAGCAGAGCGCTGGCTCCTGCCTCCTGCCCGCCCATCGGTCAAAGGAAAGAACGAGAGCATCGAGGGTGTGGGTGCGGGAGCTGATCCGAAGTCAGAGCGGGGGACTCGCCCACCTCGACACCCTCCCCACCAACCCTGATGCTGAGCCGTCTCCAGGGGGGAGGTCCCGCCTCTGACCGTCCTTCTCACCCACAGACCAGGGACCAGGAGCGAACGGGAGCCAGCCGGGTCCTGAGAGCGCCCCGCATCTGCCGCTTGGAAACACAGCCGAGGGCAAGGGCAGGCCTCCCACACCCAGCCGTCCTCCCGCAGGAGCCGCAGCGAAGCCCGCAGAACAGCTGGCTGCCCGCGTGGCAGCTGGGAGGACAGAGCCCGCAGACAAGCAGCCCCTCCAAGCAGAGACGGGGCGGGTGTGGGAACCCCGCCTCGTCTGTGGGGAGCTCTCTCCTCACGCGGGGGCCCAGGGAGGACTGACGGAAGCGCACACGGGGCAGGGGTGGGAGCCGAGGTCTCTCGTGTATTTAATATGTTCTTTGTAAATAACGGCTTTCCTGCTTCCTGAGGATTGAGCGCCCGGCTCCTCGGTCCAGAGTTCTCTCCGTCCCTCCGGGATGCCCCAGGGCGGGGGCACCTGCGGGGCGAGCAGCCCTCATGGTCAGAGCTGCCCCCCGACCCAGACAGCCTAGCAGGCCCAGGCGGCAGCCCCCAGCCCCCAGCCTCAGCCTCCCAGCCCCCAACCCCCAGCCCATAGCCCCCAGCCTCGGTCAGGAGGATGCCAATCGCCAGGGAGCGCTCCCGGCGGAGCCTCGGCCCTAAAGGATGCAGGCAGCCTCGGCAGGTGACCTGGTGCCTCTGAGTCCTCTCCTGCCTCGCAGCCACTGCCCGACAGAGCAGGGCGCCTCAGCCAGAGGGGGCAGCGCGCCCCGTCTCCCCTAAACTGTGCTTCCACCTGACCCAGAGGCAGGCACGCGTGCACCTGATTTTAGCACTTTCTCCTCGTGTGAAGTGCAGGGAAACCGAGGACCCGGAAGGACAGCCCTGA